TTTATTATTTATTTATTATTCATTCAGTTTTTTGCATATGGCATCAGGGAATGGTAATATCTTTTTATCCTGTACTTCTCCTCAGAACACTGAAGTGTACCCCCTCCTAAGCTCAGCTCTCCATGACCCACATTATTTTGAAAAACCAGACACCTTCTATCCTGACCACTTTCTGGATGCCAATGGGGCACTAAAGAAAAATGAAGCTTTTATGCCCTTCTCCATAGGTAAGATGGACCTGTGATTCCTTTCTGAGACTCTAGAGGGCAGATCCTTTCTCCAACATGAACAATAATGATCCCATTTAACCATTTAACGCCAGGGATGGACTCCAGAAACTAAAGGAGTGTCTTTGAAAGGAGGACCTTAATAACACGTTTAAAATTCTAAACTTGAGAAAATTAATTTTCTCAACAAACAATAGCAACAACCGAACACCATCTGTGAACACTGCTGTGATCTGGGTAGAGTCTTGAAGACTGCCAGGAGGAGGGAGGCATTTGGATTTACCCTTGAGCACTCAAGACTTGGGGCAGGATTTGACACACTTGTCTCTGTTTGCATTCAAGACTCTTGGGCTAAATCTGCCAGGCGTGGGGTCACATGCCTTTAGTCCCAGCACTCAGGAGGCAGAGGTAGGCGGATCTCTGTGAGACAGAGGCCAAACTGGTCTACCTAGTGAGTTTTGGGCCAGCTGGAGCTATGGGGAGACCCTGTCTCAAAAAGACCAAAAAATTTGTTAGAGAAATCAAATTTATTAGAATTTATTTGAACAAAGAAGCCATAATGTTCTGAAGCAGTGAAAGTTCAGATTTATGCTGCCCAGCAATGTGGATGGGCAATGGATAGAGGAAAGGGGAGCTGGGCATATGGACACAGCCTGATTGATTAGAGGTCCACTTTGGCTTTACTTGAGCATGCATGAATAGTTGGCATCCTGGCACAGGCTGAGTGCTATGATTGGCAGAGGTCCTGTTTATTTCTGGAACACTATAACCTCAAGTCGGTTTGCAGCTCATTACTTACTAAATTAGGTTAGTGTTTGTTATTGTTATGAACAGAGGCAGCCTTATGTCAAATTTAATTCGGTTTAAGAGGCTGAGACAAAAAGACAGGAGAAGGAGGGAGGGAGAGAGAGAGACAGAGAGAGAGAGAGAGAGATCTAAAAACACTTCTCTTCACATTTAGATACACAAACACAGATGACACACATAGGAGTGTTTCCCCTCCCTTCCTCTCTCCCTCCCTCCTTCCCTTCCCCCTCCCTTCCTCTCTCCCTCCCTCCTCCCTTTCCCCCTCCCTTCCTCTCTCCCTCCCTCTTT